GTGGAAACCGATTATAACTCGCAATGGCAGTAAAAACATAGCGACCCTCACCAAGAATACGGGCTATTTAAACTTTGTAATCCGTCTTCATTGCGAATATATATTTATAGTTGCTAATTAAAGTTTGCCTGAAACACGGTTATTCGCGAACATGACTATGGGTGCGTTTATGAGGCGCATGCATATGCTTTAGAAGGTTATGGTTACAAATGTCCGTTAGTGGTTATGTACATGGGTGCAAATGTCCATCGGTATAAATGAACGTGGATGAAAATGTTTGTGGGTGCAAATGTCCGTGGGTACAAATGTACGTGGTTGCAAATGCTCATGGGTGCAAATGTAAATGAGTACAAATGTTCGTGGGTGCAAATGTCCAGAGTGCAAATGTCCGTGGATACAAATGTTTGCGGTGGCAAATGTTCAGAGGTGCGAATGTACGTGGGTGCAAATGTACATAGGTGCAAACATCATGGGTGCAAATGTTCGTGGGTGCAAATGTACATCGATTCAAATGTCCGCGGGTGCAATCAGTATGCATCTATGGGTGGAAATATATGTGTGCAAATGTCGGTGGGTGCAGAATTATGCAGGTGCAATTGTCCTGGGTGCAGTTTACGGGTGAAAATATATACGTGGGTCAAATAATAGTTACTTATTTCATACAAAATTGAATCGAAATATAAGGTTTGAAGTTTTTAAGGGAGAAATTGAGTTGACAGATTCAGTTTGTAATAGTCGCACAACCTGAGAATAAATTGATGCTTGCAAGAGCATTATAAATAATTGGAACGGAATGATGAATTATTCAAATCAATCCATATTTAACTTCTATACCAAATATTTTTATACTTGTTTCACTCAAAATTAACTTTTATTCAATATGAATATTCAAGTGTGAATATATCGTTACATTTACGCTGCTTTGATTTTGTTTGTACTTAAAAATACGTATTGGTAAAATTTCATTTTATTGTAAATCCAACAGATAGTCGGTTTTGACAAGTCCTAAAATTGTAAATGCGATTTATCCTATTGTTCAATCACAAACTATCTATCGACGATCGAAGAACGCAACAGAGCGAACATGTACCTCGTTCGCTCCAATTGTGTTGTAATATGTAATACTATACTTATTATATGTACACGAACTTTTGTTTTATTATTGTAAAATGCAATAAATATCTGGTCTTTTATTGCTTCCCACCAGTGTTGAGTATATTTTGTGGTGGATAACAGGATGAAGCTAGTATACCTTACAATTTAATATATTATACAAAGTTTATCGCATGGTTAGGTTATAAATGATTGCATTTGGTACTTTCAATGACTGCGCCAATTAGACCACTTTTGTTAAAAACTATTGCGTTTTTTCTATTTCATGTGGTTAATGATGAATAGTCTGTTTTTTGTTTGCTTTTTTGGAAGTTTGGATTGACTAAAAATTAATTATATTTTTTACTTCGAGAATACAATGGGACAAAGTATAGACAAACGATTCTATTGAATGAAATTTGTTGTGGCGTTGCAATATTCGCGTATGTGGTCAATAGAAAAAACCCGAACATTGTTAATGTACCGTACTCATAATTTATAGCAATAAAACTAAATAATAAACATGTTTTTTACAATAGTGAGATTTAAATAAAAGTTATATCATTGTTGAAGTACAAAGCTATCTTTAAATTTGAGAGCATGGGGATATCCGGTGAGTTTGGTTATTCGCATGTGGTCACGGATTAGTTCTAGATACAGATAGGTGGGGAATGATTGGGGATGGCTATAATTTTATTTGGAAAATTTGCCTTACTTATACTAGTTTATATCTCTAGTCAATAGTGCATTATTATAACCCTCAACCATCTATTTTAATATTTTCAGGAAGACTGTTTCTTTGGATTTTTGTTGTCGCGATCATCCTTAAGATTTACGCTGAGCTCGGTGTGAGGAGATTACATTTACGGAGGACAGAAGCTATCGTTGGTTTTATAATTGTTAGCGTTTACTGCTTCTTTATCATTGTTGCTGTAACCTGGTGTTTATTTCCTATTAACTGTAAAAGAAAGGCTCAAAATGAAAACATTGAAACTGAGACAATCTCGGGAAGTCTGACAGATTCTTCAGTCGTCTTCACAAACACAAGTTGTTGGAATAATGGGAGCCAACTTCCCGGAAGTGGTACAGAAGCCTGGGTACCAATGTCTTCTTTCTCGGACAAGGTAACTCAAAAAAGCGTTGTTTCCGATTCAACGCTGGAAGATATGTGCGATAGTACAGACACAGCTAAAATTATATCGGCGGAAAATAGTTCCATGCAAACAGAGGATGAGACCTTGAATAAGACGTCGGTAAATAACGACCCATCAGCTAACGAGAAACTCTACGATGACGTCACCGACAAGACAGATAATCAATCTTCTCAAAAATCAGTGAAAGAATTGCTTCGAGTTGAGAATACTAACAACGGAATCTCTGATCAGTATCTTGATACCGTCAATAATGATTCTAGATCTTCAAGTAAACTGAGCTTCGTCACTGAAAGCTTCCCGTCGTCTCGCCCCACAACATCTGGGTCATTGAAATATTCGGAGAGATTTCACAGCCGGTCTACAACACCATACAGCTTTCAAACCGTATCGCTGAGAGATTACGATTTCTCTCCTCCTGATTCACGCAACACAAATGAAATGCGTGTAACGCCTGATAGTGGATACACAAGCTTTGACTGAATGTTATTTTATGAACTGTTTCACACAGATATAACACGAATGTGTATGCCATTAAAAATGTAAATATTTGACTGTTGAAATTGCAATTATTTTGAGCACTATAATGGTTCTGATAAGTAAAATAAGTCAGAAATTGGGTGTCGTTGTGTGATAGCATATTTATCCTTTCTCGGTTAAAGGATTTTTTACAAAAGAAGATTCGTTTTTTGAATAAATATTCTTTTGCCCTCTCAACCATCCGGTCGAAATATTAATAAGGGCAGGAAATACGTTGGTCTGAGCATCTTTTGTATAATATAACAAAATTAAAGGGTATCAAATCTGCAAAATCAGTTACGTATTGAGGGACAATATAAATAGAAATATACCAGGTACTTACCCACAGTGGAGACTGTTCGTGCGATACTCGAGAAGTTTGATAAACATTACGAACGAATGTAGACAATGCCCCAGACTTTCGGGTATCAGTACGACCCGATATCACTCGTTCATCATTGCTGCCAGGTGGTTTGGTAAGTATATTTATACATAAAATAAGTTTGTATAGAAATACAAAAAATAAAAAAGATGATGCAACAATCTATATTAAGAATCGTTGTATATATCTATGCATTGTTACTACTAGCCAATCAGAAACTGAAGCGTGGATCTAACTCAAGGGTGTGCACTTTGGGAAAAACGCCTCTTTTCAAATAAATTCCGACATAGCAATGCTATGGAAGTAACACACAATACAAACTACCTCACGGTGCAAGGCTCGGATGGGTATTGATACAATGTAAGCAGTTTCCAGAAAAGGCCATGCATAATTTATTCAAATGTGGAGGAAATTCCATGAAAATGACACTACCTTAGTTGCTTATGAAATGAACTTTTTAAAAAAACATCATAATGTTCATGAATATGTTTTATTGTGAAACTAGCTGAAAACAAGCACTAATCAAACGTGGGCGATAAACTCACTCAAACTGTAGATTGAGAACAGTTCCTAAGATGCCAATGGAATAAAGGCCTGTCTCACTTACATATAACACGAAGATGTATCAATAAAATTATAAATATTCGACTGTTGAAATGGCAATTATTTTGAGCACTATAATGATTCTGATAGGTAAAATAAGTCAGAAATTGGATGTCGTTCTGTGACAGCACATTTATCCGTTCTTAATTATCAGTCCGGCCCGATATCGAGGCCTCGTTCATCATTATTGCCCGGTTGTTTACTAAGTATATATATATATATATATATATATATATATATATATATAATAGGTTTGTATAGAAATACAATAAATAAAAAAGATGATGCAACAATCTATATTGAAGACCGCTGTATTTGTCTATGCATTGTTACATCCAGCCAATCAGAAACTGAAGCGTGGATCTAACTCAAGGGTGTGCAGTTTGGGGAAACGCCTCTTTTCGAATAAATTCCGACATAGCAATGCTATGGAAGGTATATACCAGGGATGGCAAACCTTTTTCTATGAATGGGTCAAAAATATATTTTTATCGCGGAACAGAAGAGAGTGGGTCACATATATGCGATCGATGTTTGTATCTATATGAAACAAATCGTATAAGTTTCTGTTGGTGTTGGCGTAGTTTTGGGCTTTACTTATGCAGCACTTCTATCAGGGACTTTTTATGGCTCTCGATTATATGAAATTAGTACCAAAACACGCATATGATTTACAAAAAACGTTTAGGATGATGCGGCAAATTATTTTACGGTTTGTAAAGAGTTTGGAAGGAATTCCACTCTGATAGTGTTCTATTTTTCGATCAGTTTTCAACCACATTAAATTACCATAATATGTCATGGGATTTTCAAATTTCAATTTTACAGAAACAATTATATTAGAGTAAAACATAGCTATGATATGCTTGGTTGTTTAATTACCAATCATAGCATTGATTAATTTTAGTCGGCACGATTCGTCACTAAAACTAGATAAAATGTTAAGCGTATCACAGCGTCAAAGCAAAAAAATAGTGACGTATAAATGACACAGTGAAAATACCAGTTTGTGTGAACTAGTATGACTCGATATTTTAATGCCAAATAACAAGCCTCTACGTATTGCAGATTCGATGTTATGTTTATTTTCATTTTATAGTTATAAAGAAGTCCGATGATTAAACAACGTTAAATGTCGTTAGAAATTACAATGCCTCAACGCGCAACACAATTTGTTTTAATTTGACTATTTACAAAATGGTTTAAGCGCTGCGGTCACAAGTCAGTCGTCTCTGAATTCGATATGTGTACATCGCGAATTGATACGTTAAATCTCTCGTGACAAAATAATTCCGGGAAGTTTGCTGTCATTCAAACATTCAAATTTCCGTGTTATATTCAGAGCTATGAGCGGTTCAGAATTTTATATGGAACAGCTGTCAAGACGCCGAATATTTGAAACAAGAACGTTCAGCGTGTGAGAGCTGCACTTTATGTTTATTTTGACATGATGGTTGTTAAGAATAATACAAATAAAAAGTTTGAGATCAGAGGAATAAGGAGAGCGAAAATATTGTAAATAGGTACTTGTACGAAAATAATAGCTGTGAAGGTTGTTTTTTGGATTGTACTCTTTATTTTACTCTGCCTTGTGAAGCTCCCTGCAACTACAAAAATAGATTACTCTAATTAGAAATATTCATTTGTTTGAATAGGCTTGAAGCAAGTTTTATATTGAATATCTGATGTAGCCCGACAAGTGGTCCAGCAACAAGTTTTCAGAACGCCGAAAACGGGGTTGTCCGTCTTTGGTTCCGCCATGACCCGCAGGACCATCTAACGAATTACTCAACACCAAGGAAGACGTTACAAATCGGATAGCAGAAGTGAAAGTTGTTACACCACACGACTCCAAGGCAAGAGTGTCAGTTTATGTTTAATTGATTTCCTGATTTTCATTTTGTCTTTGAAGAGCTTTATTAAAGACCCATAGTGTGCCGGGAGTAATTACTGCAATTCGAAAACTATCTACGTTTACCATCTTGCAAAATTTCCACTGATGCAAATCCCGATGCCCTAAAAGTTTAAAATGTATTTTTTTAAATGTATGAGTAATTACTATTGACACATTATGAAGCATTAACATATATATTTCGGTTTATTTAAGTAAGATTTACTTATTTAATAATTTGTCCAGATGAGTCTGATAAATGCTATTATACGAATGAATTACCACATTTCATTCATGTATCAAAGATATTAAATATAAGCCACTGACACTAAAAATGAACTGGCAATTGAATCCCATGGGTGTCCGCGATTGCACTAATATATATAGTGTAAGAAACCCGATCTTTCATAAATCCGGACGACAACGTGGCTAATTATTTGAGGAGAGGAAGTAGATTGTTTATAGGGAGAGTGCCACACCATTTGTTACAATTATGTTCGTTATAGAAAGGGTAATATTTAGTCAAACGTAACGTTACAAAAGTACATTTGTGTCAGCGTTGAGTAAAGCTACCGAATCACAGTCTTAGTGATTATCTCTGCAGTGTCCATGAACTATTTGGATATAATATAGTGCTGAAACGTAGCAGATATAATGATATAATACATACTCTATATCAGTGGTTCCCAAACGATGGGGCGTATAGACAATTTTTTGAGGAGACGTTGAGCTATTCAAAAATAAAAATAGTTGTTAAATATGATCTTTCCCTCCTTATTTTGTAATTTACATTTCTTTGATGTTTACATTTGGTGTACACGTATTTTCAACGTGATTTTGGAATAAAATATATTTTGCCTTACCATCTGTTATTTGTAGCTTATTGTTAGCTATAGTTAATTTTGGGGTGGGGCTTAAAAAGTTTGAGAATCACTATTATATATTAAATACTTCATAATTCCTTGCTACGTTTCAAGATATTTTTGCAGTGTCGACCATACTATCACCGGATCATGGAATGAATCATAATGCACCGAGTATAACAACGGAAATATGCTCATTTATATAAAAACGCTATACCGATGCAATTAAAAAATACGTTTCAGACAGGTGATTATGCGGTCATTGTTTTTTTTAATTCGTTTCTTTTTGGCCAAAGATAACATGATATTAACACGTGATTTATATTAGGAATTATGACCCGTTCAAGGCTGGCAAGAAGCAATTTCATGGGATACTTTGTTACATATGTTTTGTATTAATTTTACGAATATTTTTCATAGTAAGTTTAGTTTGGAAGATGCGATATAATTTCTTGTATTTATTTGAGGCTTCTTATTTTGCTGTAGTACGTAATGGTGCAGTGTAGTATGTGATTTAAATGTACGTTTCTAATGTGGATTGTGATTTGGATCCAGCGACAATGTAAACGCAAATTATTACCACCTGGAAGGTCATAAAATATTTTTTTTTTACTTGACCAGGCAGTAAAGGCATAAAAATAAAAGGAAATTTATGATTTACTAAGACTACCGTGTATATGAATACCGCTGTGTAGATCGCATATTACATTGGTGTACCAACAAAGTATTGAACTATGTAGAGGGGGGGAGGGGGTTGGTACGATTAGTCTTTGTCAATTAAAGACGTATTTATGTTTGAGCTGTAGCTATTTTAGACATGCAAAGTATCTATACTTTCAGATTTCAGCGAGATACAATTTTCGTTTCGCAATATTTGAATATTCAGGCGCAAGGCGTAAGTCGTAAGGCGTAAGTGAGCAAGGCGTAAAGTCAAATATATATAATGTTATACAGAAATAATACAAAAACTAATATCAGGAGTAGGAGTAATTGAATATGCCTCTCCAGCATGCCTTTTTGAATTATTGAGCATTGAAATTAGAATGACAGACGACTATATATTCTAAAATGGTTACTTTGCTAAAGCTCGAATGTGCCCTGAGGCAAAGTCCAAGTTGAAGTTTCCTCGTATTCCGGAGTTCAAATTTCATAATGTTCACGAGATGTTGCGACAATTGTCAGACGCTAATTGCTTGTTTATACAAAACTATTTTTGTATCAATAAGCAAGGTTGCCAGACTAAATTTTGATAAATAATCGCTTAATTGAAGTTGTACAGAAAGGGGGTTTACCTGTAGCAGAGATATCATTAGACAGAGGTAAACATAATGACAGACACAATTTTAGCTAATATTGTAAGGGCTGCATGCATTTTTATGTGTGCTAGTATCATTTTTTTAAGTTTTAAAATGAACACTAACAGCAATACGTTAAACAAATTGAGCAGTGCGCTGATGTAATCTTCGTGAATCGCCCAATTTGCGAGCTCACTGACCCATTTAGTGTCAATTTTTGCAAATTCTGGTTGTTACTATATTTGCGTGTAAGATGTCAATAAATAACCGTATCAAGTTTAAAATAATTTTCAGAAATTATAGATTTAGAAAGATGTCGGAAAATATCTGTCGACGGCAGTTCACCTGTCGGAGCTTTGGTTTTGCTTGTTCCGAAGCAGAGAAAAATTCTTTTTATGTATCGCAGGTAAGCCATGATAATTAATAAATTTTAACATGATGGGGGGAATCGTAAATGTTCTATTATTTGAATTCTGTGAGAGTTAGACGGGAATCATTCTATATTTGCCAAAGCATATACTCAAGTATATATTTAATAACTTGAGATAATTTATCATAATGTAAAAAACGGTAAATTTCTGGTATATTTGACTTTAGCGATTTAATATTTACGCCATTACATATATTATTGTTTACCGTGAGTTAATTGTGATTTTTATTGTCTAAAAAAATTCTCATTTGAAGCGTTTAGTCATTGTATGTTCGCGCCTTTTCATGTATCGCAGGTAATCTTAGATTTTTTTTATAATAATCAAGTCTCAACATGCACTATATGGGGAGAACTGTTGTTTGCTGAAGTTAAAATACTTCTAGTAAATTCATAAATGCAGATTTCGTTTCGTAATGTGGAGAACGATATTCAGTTTAATTGAATTAATAGATGTTCTTGAATAGCTTTTGCCATTAAAAAATACTTTATTATTGCTAATAACAAACCTCGTTCATTACAGTGGGGAGAAAACCGAGTCATCTTTTTCATCTATCGTTTATTTATGGGATTATATTCACTTGGATGGACTTTAGCATATTTAATTACTCTTGGAATATATGAGCCTGATCGATTTGCCATCAGCTACACGTTTTTAACCAACTGGGGAGATGTCCTGAAGACTATTTACTTCATTTTAGCGGCAGTACTATCATTAGTTGGGGTCGTAAACAGGAAAAAAATGATATTTACTGATAATAGTAGGTTGCATTTGTTTGTTGCATTTGTTTAATTTTTTCTAATTGGTTAATGATGACGTGGTAGAAAAATGGAGTATAACACTTCCGCGTGGATTCTGTAGTAGATCACTGATAATTCTATGAGGCCTTTCCGATCTTGGCTTCAAATAAGGCGATACAAAAGTGATCACTGGTACGCAAGGAGATGGTATTCTAGAAAAACTTTTTTATTTGTCTCTTAACAATTATTTACGCTGAATTGACTGACGTTTTGCGATTGCTCGGATTACAAATGCTCAGATTAAACTACGAGCAACAATCAAGCTAGGTTTTTTATTTTCATAGCTTAATATGCATTTATTATCATTTTTAAATGAGACGTTTCCTCGCCTTCACTGCAAACAAGGCTATTTTCGAGAGGCCCGTAATCTTTCATGCCTATTTATTGTACACTTGGTGATGAATTCGGTATGGGGTTTTGATCCAACATTTTCGACCTGTGACCCTAATATGGTTGGGTCTAATGCTCTACTATTAAGCATCGCGTCAAGTTAAAATCATCATCGCACCCTTCTCATGTCTTGAAGTGACTTTTAACGTATTACATTACGCGTACCTGGCTTATTACCAGAATGCGCGCCCTAAAAGCCATCTAAACAATGTCTGCCCTGTTTCAGGAGTCTTTTTTTGTAATAAATTTGTATTTTGGACATAAGTATTTTTGTTTATATATCTTGTTCGAATTATTTCCATTCAACCTATCAAAGTTTGATAATTATAATTATTACAAGTGTCGCTGCTCCATAACCAACATTCTTTTTGCTTAACCCTTCATCGTGAAGTGCCATTTGCCATGCTTTTTACCTAGCTTTTGTTTGCATCAAGGGTAATTTCATTTTGGTGAAAAATAAACTACTCACTGACTATCAGCTCTTTTTTTTCTAGTTCCAACAAAGATTCTACGAAGCACAACTTGGATGTTGTTTTCAATCTCTGCAACCGCTCAAGTCTTAATCTTCCTTACCTATTGGGTATTTTTAGCCCCAATTGCCGCACCCGAAGACATTCCAACTCCTTACAATATACACCGACATGCGATAAACCTACTTCTGGTTTTAATCGATGTGTTTGTGGCAGCTTTCCCCATTCGTCTCCCCCATGCTGTTTACGCCATGATTGTAGCGTTTCTGTACTGTCTTATGACGCTGATAGAGCATTTAACTGGTGGAATATCCGCTGTGTATCCATTTCTGAATTGGGCTACAAACCCAGGGTTAGCTGCCGGAATATGTGTCGGGCTTAGCATATTAGGACCAATAGTTGTTCAAAGCATTTTCTTCGGTTTTTATAACCTAAGACTTGCCATTGCGAAATGTGTTGATAAATCGAGATCGCCAGAAACTACAAGGCTTCGATCCACAGAGCCGTCAGATCAAAATGGAGCAACACATGATATTGACAATCCAGCGTTTGACTCTTTTGAATGAAATCAGCCAATAAAGTATATAGAAAGGATGGTGAACCATTGACTGGCGGATACATAGTGACCCGTCATGTTTTTTTTTCGATGACCCGTCTGGTCAAGATTTAAAGCGAGAAACATACCAACATTTTAGTGATGGTAAAATGTGTACCGAGATCGGCCTTAACTCAATCGAACAATAAGTGAAACACTACAAAAGTTCCGATATATATAAGCTTACCATACGTCCCGGTTTAGCCGGGACAGTCTTAGTTTTCACAAGCTGTCCCGGTGTCCCGCGCGTTATACATAAATATCCCGGTCATATAATATGGCAGTCATAAAAATTTTGTTTATTTAATATCAGTGCACAATTTTTTTTAGTTAATGGGGGCAGTCCAGTTATCACTGATTCGCGATTCACTTCAATAGTTCGGTGTGGGAAAGAGAGAGAACTACCATGCAAAAAATGCACGATGTACAATGATTTAAATATTACTAAGCCTAGGAATTGGTTCCCGATTTGTCCAATCGTCGCTTTCCTGTTTTTTTCATATATATGGTAAGCCGAGATTAAAATAGTATATATATGGCACGATAGATGTATATAGGATATGGCAGGGGTGGCCAACCTGCTTTCGACCGCGATCGACTAAAATCTTCAAAATATATCGCGATCGACTGATCGGTAATGAGCTTCTACACAAAAACGAATGGGCACTAAATATTCAGATAACTGCATATACCCATACAAAAAATTCCACTGCTGCAAATAAGAAGGCTTTGTGGGCACATTATTAATAAAATCGAAAAAAAATTTGTATTTTTCATGTTCTATTTGAGTTGTTGATTTAATTATTTAATTGTACCCGGAGTAAATGTGTCATTATTTATTTAAGATTTATTTGAATCATATAATTCAGACAAAGAGCGTGCCTAGTTTTTAGTCGTAAGTGTTGAGAATTCTTCAAAAAACCTTGCCAAGTATTCATGTATTATCCAAACATCGAAAAATAAATATTCTCAAACCATGAATGTTACATGGCTGCTCAAACTTCAGTATCTAATTTACAATTTCATCCAAACGCGATTCTTCGCTTGCTTTTAATTAGAACAAATTGGGCATTTTTGATGCCATTGCGCATAAAATTTATCACACTACTCTTGGAGTGAGACAATAACTTTCGCATACTGCGGAAGTTGTTGTAGAATTGTCAATGTTTGTCAGTCTAGACACGCGATATTCGGCACTTCATTTTTAATCCTTGCCAGCGGAAAAACTTGCATTTGTTACGTAATAATATGCTTTATCGCGCTTGCTCACACTCAAATACTGTATGTGTATATTGTATTTTGCGCATGTAAAGTACTGTATTCTTCCTATTGCAAAACACACAACTGGTTCAAGGCAATTTTTGGGAGTATTTCAATAAAATTCCTTCAACATCAGACGCAAAAATTTGTAGCTGTCTACTTTCCTAAGATCGTGATTAAAACGAAAACCACGGGAGAAAATGCTGTTTGACCGTGAACGTCTATGTCATGTTATATGATACTGAACAAAAATAAATTCACAACACTTTATCCTGAGACACTGACCGTTTACACATTACCGGAGTAAATTTAAAAAAAAAAAAAAATTCTTTTGTTTTGATGCACCTCAATGTAAATTATACTTATGATAAATTATTTCCTAAATTCTTTATAAAATGATTTTATTTAGTCAAGAGTGTACAGAACCTTTTCATTATTGGCCTTTTATCATTAGACATCTTAAGGACTGTTACCAATTTACAGTCCGAGTGAGTTTGTCGCCCACGTTTTGATAAGTGTTTGCTCACAGCAAATTTTACCTCAAAATATAATCATGAACAATATGATATTTTTATAAATTGTTGATTTTATATAATTTTGAAAAGTTCATATTGGGTTTTGTGATTTGTATCGATTGAATATATTTATATTGGACAATAGGATGATGAATATTTAGTTTTATGCAAAGTTAGGCTTTAGAGTAGAAATCTCATTTCCAATTAATATGTCATTAATGATGTAATGATTAGATCATACCATCGAATTGATCCACAAGAAAGCTTTGCACGAAAATATGAACACAAAAGCCGCGCATCGGTCTTAATTGAGCACTGAGCAAGTAGAAACGCAATAAAGTGTTTCCACGAGTTACAATGAAACAGAAAAAATTTCCGGTTTGCTTCGAAGCAATATTGGAGAAAACCGGAGTTGTATTTTCGGATTAATCACAGAATATCAAAATCACAAGACTCAGAATAGAAATTCTAGACTTTAAAAGCCCAAGGATAAAATTTTGCATTTTTGAGTGAAATTATAAATTTCAAAATTTTTCTATACGAGACTATTGGCAAGCAAAAATTTACTAAAGTAGTTTGTCCTCTTTATGGTATTCATCCACAATTTATTACATTATGCATGGCCTTTCTGGAAAACGCTTCAATACCCACCAGAGCCTCGCACCGTGAGGTAGTTTGTATTGTATATACCAGGGATGGCGAACCACTGACCCGCGGGTCACAAAGTGACCCATCGCGTTTTATTCGTGACCCGCCAAGGCACGAATAAAATTTAAAAAAATGCTAACATATCAGTTCGGCCATAAATTCATATTAAAATTGGTACTTTTTCGGGCCGGTATGGTAATTTTCAAAACTCCTAATCTTGGATGCATGTCTGCTCCGCTGTGAACCGTTATTCAGCTATTGGCACTGACATCGTTTATGACGTTTATGATCGTTTATGAGAACTAGATGCTACTTTGTATTTTATTAGTTTCTCGCCTACGATGTCGTTAATTAAGAGAACAAAATCTTTCAGACAGACTTAAAATAAAAGCCCAGAAACCTAAAATAACAAGGGGGCAGTGTAAAAGTGCCTTAAACTAGATGTAATATTGTTATTCAAATGTTGTTTTGATGACATATAGTTTGGAGATAGCAAATTTATAAACACGTAACTCATAAACAAAAACGGAATACGTGCAAAAAATTAATTGTATAAATGCGCGTCACAAATTTTTAACATCTCGGCCAAGTAACCTGATGAAAAGATATCTCAACATTTGTGTTACTATCTCTACGGTAAAGGCTGTATTTGTGTTATTGTGACTAAAAATGGAGCAATGAAAAATGTTGTTAAATTACGTTTGCTCGCCTCTCTACACACTTCAATAGAAGCTGGATTTTCCAAGTCTATAGACGCTGAAGTGAAAGTTAGTTAGAATTATTGTCGCTACTTCAAAATCTGCCCTTTTGCTGCACGAAACATATCAAATAACATCTAATCTCACATTAACAAATGCTTTCATAAACAAGTATTCAGTCCGTCTATTATACGCTGATTAGCTTTATAAATATATTCCCTTGCTTCAATCGCCAGGCAAAGCTTGCGACGTTGATTCCAGTAACTACGGTACTACGATAGTTTGACTTCTGCGAAATGGTTTATCTCACATCAACCACTGCTTTTTTTAAACAAATATTCAATCCGTCTATAATACGCTGATTAGCTTTATAAATATATTCCCTTGTTTCAATCGCCAGACAAGGCTTGCGACGTTGATTTCGGTACTTACGGTACTACGTTAGTTTGAATTCTGCGAGATGCTTTTATGGTTGAACTCGTCGAGAATTCGAAAATTATCGTTATTTGAAAACGAATATCAACGATCAAATAGTGGCTAAATCCTTATAGCATATGCCGCTAACTTATCTAAATCTAAACATTTCATACTTAGATTTTCCAACATGGCTTACTTAGCGCAGAATGATTGGATCATACTGGACATTAGCTGATGCAATGATCTGAATTGTGAAAAACCTTCAAAGCGTGTAATTATCTAAAAATAGACTTGGTGGAAAATACCGGATTTGTGCTACACTCAAATTCGGTAGATTACGTCGGTATTTTCAAATTATAGGTCGTTTTTGGATGCACGATAGATACATCGAAACGAAGAAACGCTCTTAAATTCCGTACACCATTATATTTAACCTGATTTAACTTCGTACATAGCACAGTTAACCCATATACCAAACACCAAGATATAGTTGCACCAAGAATGCCAGCACAAAGGCGAAGGTTACTGGATCCTCCAAGTCTGTACATCTGAAACAAGTGGCTAGCCAATCCAATACCCGAAATGGTCTGGTGACCGGACTAAAGACCGTGGTTCGCCATGTGATTGAGTCGTCGTTTCCCCCCTTGTAAATCCTATCCTAATAAAGGTAACAAAGCTTGTGCTGGCAGTGGTATTAGATTTGGATTAGCAATATATAACATTTGCTTAAAGCAGGCCTGGGCAAGTTGCGGCCCGCGGGCCACGTCCGGCCCGCGGCAACGTTTCATCCGGCCCGCGAGCAGGTTTCTAGATGTGGACACTTTCTTTTTAAATTCATATAAAGTATACTTTAACTGTGAACAAAATTTTGTTTAGGAAAATGAAAAAGTCGGCAATACCATTCGACAAATTTTTTTTTAAATGACCGATTGTTTTCGCCAGCTCGAGATGTTATTTATTAGACCATAAACACCTTTACGTCGGTGATTATAATCACAAATTTCCTTCAACCTCCATATATATATATATATATGTCTTGCATACGGAACTGTGAAACCATTGAGAAAAACGAGTCATTATATAATAATGCTAAAAATAAAGAAGTGCATCTGCAAGCAACCTAAATCGAGATTTCAGAGCGGCAATATAAAATACTAAAAACTGGACACATACAAGATTGATGTAGAAGGCTTGCGACAGATTAAAAACGCTGTTGTAGAAATTGGAAACTGAAAAATTTCTGGTGCCCATGGCACAAAGTAAAGTAAATTCAACCGATTTTCATGGTACTAAATTGAATTTAACTCGGTGTGGTTTTATTGCAGACGTAGGGATTTTTCTATTGGTGAAATCTGTAAAATAGAGACAAGTCATTGTTGCAAGAACAAATCACATTTGTTGATTTCATGAAATCGCAAAACACGAATAAAAGTAATCTGGCACTTTATCTCACATTTTTAGATCCGCGGCATGGGGGGGTATTTAAGAGTAGTAATGATTATATTTTGCCAAAGCAATCGCGGGTTAAGTTTAAAACAACAAAGCAAGACATTTAAATGTGCCCATATCAATGCATTTTAAATATACCAGTATCGCAAAAATAGGTATCAAAATTAAGTATATTCCGGCACTTTATTTCACATTTTTATATACGCAGATAGACGTTGTATTTTAGAGCAGTGCATTCCATACTTTTAAACTCGCAACGCCTTTCAATGCGTTACAATTTTCCACGACCCCTGTTTACGTTAAAAATGCTATGGTGACAACAGAGTTATATGAATCACGAATGTTTGGCCATCGAAGGCATGGTCTTAATTCCGCATAGTTACTCACTCTTTAGCATTAATGATAAAATTCAGCATTGTTTTGCAAGCGTGACGTTTCTCCGATCATATGTATTGTCTCGAAATCGCGATATTTATGTTTTAAACTAGTTTTAATAACTGTGTTTTAAATAAAAATAACGGAGTACAATAGTACTTTGTTTTATTTAAATGTGTACTGAAATGCATTAAAAACGCACAATTGGCTTTACTTAGTCCGGCCCGCCACTGCATTTGGAATATTCAATGTGGCCCGATAGCAAAAATAATTGCCCAGCCCTGGCTTAATGTGTAGTCATTTTTAGTCGATGTTTGTTAAACATAGATAAATGTATTTATTTTCACTTTACTATTTTTTTTTGGTTAATTATTGTAAAACACAAAAATATCTAATGGACAATAAATTTGGGACTTGCTCGAGGTTCACAATCAAAAACGAATGGAAATATATTACAGCAAACTACGTACTATTACTGAAGTGTAATGAAGTATGTTACATATAAAACATTATCCAAAAATGAAAA